TGTGCGAAGCATATTTGACCCATTGCATTGTTGTGGTGATGGATGGATGGATGGATGGATAGATAGATAGATAGATAGATAGATAGATAAGATAGATAGATAGATAGATAGATAGATAAGAAACACACTCAGTAGAAAAGAGGGCAACTCAGATGAACTTTTAATTTAGTCTCAAATAAAGCAGCTTAACAAAATCCGAAAATCGTCAACATGGCCGCACTACTTTTACTAGTCCCATCTAATCTACGTTTAGTTAAGGAACATCCACATTACAAATGTCAGTAATCTGCAAAGGATTAATTTCACATCTGTCAAAGTGAAGGAATTTGCATGGCACTAAGACATTGTTTTCAAGTTAAAGGATGAAAAATTTCAAAATGAATTTAATTTGATGTATCAAAGTCAGAGGGAGCGACTCAGGCCAAAATCATCACTGCTGGAGGAGCAGCGCACAGTGACGTCACTTAGAAATCCAACTGAGCAACTGGATTCCTCATTTAGCTTATTTTATATATAAATAGATAGCCACAAAGGAGAGAGGCTAATATTCTGGGATGACAAATGTTTAGGGAATAGTACGACATTTTGGGAAACATTCACGTTTCCTGAGAGAGAAGATTAATACCACTCTCATGTTTGTGCGTTACCTACGGAGCTAGAGCTAGCAGACAGTTACTGTAAACATCTAGCCTGGCTCTGTCCGTAGTTAACAAAAACTGCATACCAGCACATCTTAAAGCTCCGCAATCAACATGTTATATATATTAAAAAAACATCATGCAAAAAACAACAATTTGTGGTTTTGCTGGGAGCTATTTCTTGCCCAGGCTAGTGACTTCCAGGAAGTACTTGTAGGCAGATTTTGTTATCTTTGGACAAAGCCAGGCTAACTTTTGCCCCCTGTTTATAGTCCTTATTTAAGTATAAGGGAATTTCCCCAAAATATACACGCAATATTTGTTTAAATCCATTCTGAAGTAAAGGTTCAATATAACTACACTTGAATACACACACATCAATTAATGTCAAATTGTAACTGTGTATTAGTTTGACCTCTAGCTGTAGAGGCCATAGTGTGATATTGATTTGTTTAGAGGGATAAGAGTCATGTTGGGCTTATCTTGTTGTAGGTCAGTTGAAGATCATATTAGCACCTCAAACGGGCAATAAAACACACACTAGGTCTTGTGACTGAGGTGATTACATTGTTGCCTCTCTTCAGCTATTCATATTCAGCTCAATGCCTCTAGACTTTTAACTGTGTGATGTTTCCCAGACGATTCAGTGAAACAAGCGACTAGTCAGTCGTGATACCACTTTCTTTATTCCTCAACCTCACATTATGTTTAGTCGATAAGCGCAAGATGAGGTTGTGGTCACATTGATCTGACAGCAACAGTGGCTCAGACATTGTCTCCCGCCCACAGTCTTGATTGATCTGAGCCGAAGAAACATGGAAAAGAAAAAAAACCTGCAAAAATGAAACAATAGACCAAACAAGGATGAATGCTTTTGTGTTTTAGTGTATGTGATGGATGTATCAATTCTCTCAAAGCGGATTCTTCTGTCTCTTTTCAAAGGAACTGTTGCTGTATCCTGCTTGCTGTGTTCAAGTTGAAATTGCCCCCTGCATTCAACGGGAGGAACCTGGATGCTGCCTACTACTCACCTACCATCGAACGCAGAAAAGTGGTTTCTCGCTCCAATTTTTAAGAAAATGGACTTGAATTTTGTGCCAAAACTGCAGTTTTGTCTAAATGCGTACACCCATTGTGTATCCCATCTATAAAGCAACAGTGATTTTGTACCAGCTGCATAATAACAGTTAGTTTTAAAACATTTTCGAGATGGATTTCCTTTCAACACAGTAGGTTTTGTCTGCATATATTATACTTCTCTGTCAGTGTTTCTGCATGCATCCTGTAGTTTTATTTTTTATGATGCATCGCCAACGTAATGGCTCATTTGCCAGAGGCATCATCATTCAAATTATGTTTTGACAAGACAGACTTAATGTGATCATTACTCTAATGGCTTTTATGAGAACGCCCTGATGTCCCTCTTCTGTTGTAGTGAACTTAAATAGGTGCGTGTTTCAGTCTACCTTTGCTGCACAGGACAGTGCCAAGCATCAGCATAGAACTGGAACAGATGGTTGCTGCGCTGGACAACATGACCCCAGCTCCTCTGACACAGAACTGCTCCAACTGCAGCCAGGCTTTACCCCCAGAGTTCAACGTGGTCAAGGCTGTGGTTTTGGGCTTGGTGCTTGGTGTCTTTATTGTGTTTGGAGTTGTGGGAAACATCCTGGTAATCCTCTCAGTAGTTTGTCATCGACACCTGCGGACAGTGACACATTATTTTATAGTTAATCTGGCAGTGGCAGATTTACTGCTGAGCTCCACTGTACTACCCTTCTCTGCCATTCTAGAGATCCTGGATCGTTGGGTGTTCGGACGGGTTTTTTGTAATGTTTGGGCAGCTGTGGACGTGCTCTGCTGCACTGCGTCCATCATGAGCCTCTGTGTGATCTCTGTGGACCGGTACATTGGAGTCAGTTATCCTCTGCGTTACCCAGCTATAATGACAAAACGCAGGGCTCTGCTGGCAGTGATGCTGCTGTGGGTGCTGTCTATCATCATATCTATTGGACCTTTGTTTGGCTGGAAAGAGCCGGCTCCACTGGACGAGTCCGTCTGCAAAATAACAGAGGAGCCGGGTTACGCTATCTTCTCTGCTGTGGGCTCCTTCTACCTCCCTCTGGCCATCATACTGGCCATGTACTGTCGAGTTTATGTGGTAGCTCACAGAGAGAGCCAGGGTCTGAGGGAGGGCCAAAAGACAGAGAAGTCAGATTCAGAGCAGGTGATACTCAGGATACACAGAGGCAACACAACTGTATCAGAGGATGAGGCCCTTCGCAGCCGCACACATTTTGCCCTTCGACTGCTTAAGTTCTCACGTGAGAAGAAAGCCGCCAAGACCTTGGGCATTGTGGTTGGCTGCTTCGTGTTGTGCTGGCTGCCTTTTTTCCTGGTGCTACCCATCAGTGAGTATTGTCATGTTTATTCTTGTGTGTGATTATTGATTGAGTCAGATGATGACCAAGACCTCTGTAGCATTTAACAATTATGAAAGACATTACCTCATGATACGAACAGATATGAGTGGTATTCTCATTTTACGCTAAAAAACAATTAGCATATTTCCCAAAATCTACTGGTTTGAAGATGCACAGGATATGCCTTTTAACCTTTTAATCAATAAGATTTCACAGTTTAAAAGTGCATCCACATATTTGATCACCTGCACTCACACATAAGTCTGAAAGCCATTTTCTAAACTTCTCCATTAATTCGTTTTATAGATCCATTCATCGATTTATGGTGCTGCCAGGTTTTTAAGTGCTAGTTAATTTAATATTTTGGTGATGTTACCTGAATTGCTCCTCTGTGGCGGCACATTGAAGTTACTTCATTCAGACAAGCCTTGTGGCCTCTTGAGCAGCGTAGTAAATGCTTTGACTCAGCCAGGTAGACGTTCTATAAATAGCCTCAATAAATCTTTCAGATCTGTGACAGCCTCCAGTGCTCCCCTGTGTGTAAACAAAAGCACAGAATTTCAGACCAGTGTATATTTTAAACAGACCCCTTGAGTGTCAAGTGTCAAGCCGTTTCTTTTTTCCTTATTCTCTCCCTTGTGTCTGTGACTCACATCATCACCATGCCAGTCCGGGAATGACAGATAAAGCCATCACATTGGTGTCAGACCTTATATGATGTTCCCTTCAAGAACACCCAGCTTGACGAAGAGAAGCTTGAAGGGAAATCACACAGCTCTCCAACCATGCACACACTATATGTGTTGGTGTCAATGTTGGGGGACTGTGACAAGGAAATCCGAACCAAGTAGATATGAGATATGGCAAAAACCTCACAAATCCCACTGGGTTTTTATTTGTTCCATGCTCTCATGCTTGTAAATATAGCTGCTACCATTTGGCTGAGTACTTTCCTGACTGGGAAATGAGGAAAAGCCTCAGCTTACCAATGCTCCCTCACGAATGCTGGCGTCAGGCTGCATACCGCTGCCACATATGTCTGTGGACAATGATAGATTTAGCAGTGAATCACCGTTTTGATGTGGCCCTAGATAACTTATGACGGTCTGATTTGGTTTGTTGGAGTAAACATTGTTTTGTCATCAGAGAAAAATAAATTGTGGGAATTTGATAATGTCAAAATATCTTAAAAAGGTGAGTTGTTAGGCTCTGTGTTTATTTGCAGATTGTCCTCCTCTCTCCTTGACATTTCAGAAGTCCTTCTCAGGGACTACAAGGACGTGTGAAGATAGCCATTGCTAATTTAAAGAATAACTTTCATAGGGTGCCCCTGTGCCAATAGATGTTAAGACACTGACCATGAACTGAACCTGTCATCTTTCTTCCATCAAGGCATAAATCTTCCCTAGAAATATATTAAATAAATAGATAAAGATGAACTACATACCAGGCCTAAAATCCACAGCTTTTCAATGCCCTTTCTGGTTTAAAGCTTCAAGTTGGGGTGTTGTTGAGAAGGGACAGAATGGACAGAGGGTAGTTCACTGGAGGTAAACACAAAAAAGATTTTCAGCGAGTGTTAAGTTTCTCTTTAAAGCTGCACTAATGAGCTTTTTTATATGGACAATTGGTCAAATTACAATGTATAATGTGAGAAGGGTTGTTTAAAAGCAGCTGTTTTCAGTGAAAAAACAATATGATAAACCCACTGTATGCTTCCCAGCACTAAACAGCGGACAGACAAGTTAAAGGGACTATTTGTAAGTTTTCTCTGCCATCGAATGTGTTGGTGGTGGTGACTGTCGACTGACAGAAGCTTCGGGCAACGTTGTGTTTATAAGACAAGAGGTTATAATACGCCCTCTGAACAGCGCTACATCTTTAAGGGAGATTGGACACTCCAGTGAGTCACTATCGGAAAGTGACAAGACAAGCGTGCCAACTTGAGTAGAGGAAAAGACGTGATAGGGACAAGTTACCATTGGCTTGGCTGTCGAATGCTTGAGACAGTTATTTGCAAGTAAAGGAATGAAGTTCCTGGCAATGTAGCAATAGCAAAACAACTAGCGTGGTGAACACAGAGGAGTATTCAGCAGCTAAAGAGCCATCCCAGGAGCCTTTAGCTAAAAGGAAAGTGAATACTAGACTTACATTCATCAGTTTGCCAGAAACATGATTGCAAATGCAAATGTTACTGTGTCTGCAGGATTTTTCAATCAGCAAATGTTTGCCAGAACAATTCTATAAGGTCATGATATATAACAGTACGCCTTGTGTTTCCAGCTTGTTCTGCAGCCCCCAAGTGACCAAAGAACAAATAATGCTGCTTTAAAATGAGTTTAGTTTTGGGACGTTTTAATGTCTGTGGCACTGAAAATCATATTTCACACCTTAGTTGCAGCAGTAATGACACAAAGCTTGCTACTAATGGAGGTGATGAATGGTTTCCCCCTATCCCCCCCTATCTCTTCCATGAATGCACTATTTTGTTGCTGTTTGGTCAAAACCTTGTATCTCAGCAACAATGACAAACAGCCTTTGTAGCAGTCTTACCACTGATTTTTCAGGTTATCCAACAGATTTTGGAGGGGGCTCATAAACTAAAGGGTCATATAACTTTCTCAGCCCAAAATATGTTGTGTTTTAGTTGAAGGTAACATAAAAACAACTGGAGTCACACAGTTTCCACATGACAACAGGCACTGATGCTTTATTGATTTTGGAAAATAATGCATTTTTCCAACAGCTGCAATATCTTTCTTTTTCCACTCAAAAAAGTGAATCTATCAAGGGTATCGGCAATAATAGAATTGTTCTTTTTGGCACAGCTGGGGATGAAATGTATAAGCTGCACAGGCACAAAATAGTTTGCTCTCATACTCTGCACACCTCTTCTTTCTCTCTCATGATCTCATTTTTCAAAAGCCCACATTTAACCATCTGCACCAGCTCACCCAATAAAATATTTCACAAGACAGCTTCTCCCCTTCTACCTCTGAAGATAGATGATAGATAGATATATTACAGCCACACAAGAAGTCAGCCATTTTATTTTAATGTTTTACTGGCAGCCACTGGATATGTGAAGAGTCACCAATATCAGGCCTGCATATAATGTGCTCATTAAGCCATTTTCTCTGCTTCTTCATTAAGGATCCCACTCACACTCCTTGCTGTGAATGCTTCCTCTAATCAAGAGCAGCACAATTTATGACAGCAGTTTTAATAAAATACTTAACCTTAATGGCAAGTAGGGAGCTTTTTCTTAGTGGAAGCAGGATAGATCAATTAAAAAATAAATCGTCTTAAGTAGATGTAAATGAGGGCAATGATGTGTTTCTCTAAGTAGTTGCAGATCATATGTTTATTTCATATAACCACAACCTTTGATGGAACAGATACCAGAACAAGTAACTGGAGCTCTAAGAATGGAACTTAAATGATTTTAGATAACTGATTTGAGGGACGACAGTGTTGGTCGGTTCGTCAGTTTACCACTTTGGTTCAGTTTGCAATATCTAAATAACTGTTGGATGGATTGTCATAACATTGTTTATGTCCATAACTCACCCCAGAGGATGAATCCTGATGACCTTGATGATCTATTGATTTTTCCTCTAGCACCACCAGCAAGTCAAAAGTTTTTCACATAGTCTTATTGAAATAGCTTGGCATATACTAGACTACCAGATGTTCATGTTCCCCAGAGGATTATTGATAATAACTTTGGTCATCCCCTGACTTTTCATCCAGCACCACCATGAGTAAAATTTGCTAGAGATATTCAAGTTCCCTATATCCTGCATTTACATATAGCTTTATTTATTATTATTATTTATTACCAAGCAGCCTCAGCTGTACCTTGTGTTTAGTGATAATTAACAAATGTTAGCATGCTGAAATAAACATGGAAACTATTACCTGCTGAATATCAGCATGTCAACATGCTAATGTTAGCATTTAGCTCAAATCCCTGCTGTGCCTAACAGAGCTGCTAGCATGACTCTAGACTGTGTGTCTTATGTCTCCACAGGCTCGATATTCCCTTTATACAGACCCTCTGACACTGTGTTCAAGATCACCTTCTGGCTCGGTTACTTCAACAGCTGCATCAACCCCATCATCTACCCGTGCTCCAACCAGGAGTTTAAGAAAGCTTTCCAGAGTTTACTTGGAGTTCACTGTTTGAGAATGACTCCCAGACCACACCATCATCACCTGAGTGCAGGTCAGAGTCAAACACAAGGTCACGGCCAGCCTCTCGCTCTGAATCTGGAGGCTCCTTGTCGGCTAAGTCCCTCTTCGTCTATGGCCCTGTCCAGAACACCCTCGTCCAGGGACAGCAGGGAGTGGAAGGTCTTTTCTGGAAGCCGTGAAAGCAGATCTGGACCGGCCGAGACGAGCAGGGCTAAAGTAGCCAAACTCTGCAGTAAAGGCTTCCACCAAACCTGCTGCTGCTTCCTCAGTGGAGGGACTCCCCCACAGGAGTCAAACTGCACCCAACCCCCTCCTGTCAGTAACCTTCCCACCATTAGAATCCACCAACTGTCCCTGTCGGAAAAAGGAGAGCCTGTATAACCACTGTAATCCTTCATCCATTAGTCATGACTCCCCTTTCAAGGTCACAGACGAGAAGATATTTCCTTTTGCTCCATTAACATCATAAAGGATGAACTGTGCTGGAATGGCTGCTATGACATTTAAATTTGAAATATCTCTGCTTTGATATCATGCTGTGATTTTTCCTGGATGTATGATCGTCAAAATCTTCCAAAGAAATATCACAAGCACTATATATTAGCCCTTTTAAGAAGATATATTGTATGTTACCCCTTTAACAAAACAGCTTATTGGCTTTCTAAAAACAAGCTACTGCAAAATACAAAATACAGCGTCAGCATATCACTGACATAATTATATCTTTTTTTTATCACAAAAATCTATTAAATCAAATTTTGTTTAAGTGTTGAAAGCAACCCTGTAAGTACTCCTCTGAGGTGGTCCAAATGAAAAGATCCATATAGTGGAAAAGCTGTGAAATTATTTCCTCTAAAGGACCAAAAGATTTTGAGATGTTTACATATTTTATATTACAGTAGAAGAATTCAAATGTATAAAAATGTAAATAGGAAAGTTTTATATATTGCATGATTTCACCAAATGTTTCAGAAATGCTGGTCAGTGGTGCTCCCGTCGTCTCCAGAGTTTGCCTAATGTTGTTCCTGTTGTCAAAATGTTGTTTGTGTACTTCTCTGTACACAGTAAAAAAAACCAAGGGACCTTGCGTACTTCCATGTCACATTACAATAAATTTGTATGACATATTCCTAACAAGGGATTCGTGGGGACATATTTGGACTCTTTTCGGGTGTTTCATTGCTTTTCTTTGAGGGGAGGGGTGGGGAGGTTGATTCACTAAATATATAGCCCCTGAAAACTTGTAGTTCATCTATCCACATTCCCATAATTTCATCTACCTCTGAGCAGTGCCAGATGGTTGTCTTAATATACTCGTGTGGAATTTTAACTGACCTTGTGGTTGCTGACCTCAATCCTGACCGGCCCCCAAGCCTCTTAAAAAATCCAGCAGATTTAGAGATGTCAAATGAAGTCATACACAGTCTCAGACATTCTTCTCTCAGGCCCGTACTCCTTGTGTTTCTGTCTCTTTTAGTCACCATCCACATACAAAGCGCAGAGTCTTCATCTCAGCCCTCTAAAGATCTTCAATGTGGGGGCGGTGTTTATCAGTGCAAAGGTGAAAAACTGAGTGTGTTCAGTGTGAGTTCAAGACCGCAAAGTGTCTCTCTGTTTACGCAGAGGCATCAAAGGGCAGGAGGACAACCTCTGCCAGCAGAATTGATTTATTTTCTCTTGGCTGCACCCTCTGTAGTAGCAAGATGCGCTCCCTTTTGTGAGTCTGAGAGGGAAGCGATGCACTCGGCATCATTAAACCAACATCCTCCTCTGCGCCTTAAGTTCACTGGTAGAAGTGGAGTGGACAGCTTTCCCACAGGGGAGGGCCTCGGCAATGCAGTGAGAGTGCTTGTCTGTGTCCGCGTTGTCATTGACTGGCGTGTCAGCGGACCTGTAAATCACACCGTCTCTTCACAGATGCCATCAGCAGAGGAGCTAGCAGCCGCAGCAATAAACTACAGATGGTACAGATGACCTAATTCAACCTTCCCTCTATTGTCTGCCTCTGTTGAGAATGGTGGGATTATGAACAAAACCTCAGCCAACAAATACCTTTGTGCCATGCTCTATAAAGATATATCAACCTTTCAAATGCAATAGCTGTAATGAATACCTATAATTAGATCTGCAGCCTTGGAGGAGTCAGATATATACTGGAGCAGAGCATGAACAGCCCTCCTGTGTTTCATCAGCACTCCCTGATTTTATCTAGCAACCTAATTTTATGTATTCTTGGTGAAACTATCAAGTGTGTGATCTATATTTTCTCAGTATTCTTTTGTAATGAATTTGTTCTGATGGATGCAAATCACTGAACCCACAGTTACATTTCTTCATGAATGCATATACAGTTTTAAATTAATAAGAGAGATCAACTCTGGGAGGGATTGTAGTCTTATAATAGTTGTGCCTGTGCTCCGGTGGATGGAAAGCACAGCAAGCACTACCGGTGACTCATGTTTGCATGCTTCCCCAAGAGGGTTCAGCTTAGTAAAGTCTTCCTGATGCTTCTTTTCTTCTTCTTCTTCTTCTTCTTCTTCTTCTTCTTTTTCTTCTTCTTTCCTCTTCTTCTTCTCTTTCTAAAGCTCTCATCCGTGGGTGAAGATGTTGACATTATAGGATTCCCCCTCTCTGGTTTAATCAGTGCTCTCATCATATTAAGTCCTAATTGGACAACTGTCAAACAGCCAGGGGAGCCTCATTCCAACTAATAACAGAACTTCTGTTGACGTGTGCATTCACTGTGATGTAGCCGTTCTCTTGCTCAGTTCACTTTACCGGAAGCATCTCCCTGTGGGTGAAGTGTCTCGGGAGATGGAACAACACATCGCTGCTCTGAGGCTGAGGCTGTGCGTCACGAATCTGTGTCTCCACCTAGTGTCTCGCTGTCTCTCTGCATTTACTCCATCCACCGCTTAGATGTGGTGTGACTCGACAAAATAGTTAGACTTTATTTTCCATGTCAAACAGTTCACTGATCTTTTGTGGAAAGGATTTTCACGTACATGTAAATGATTAGAGGTTCCTGGAAGAGACTGTGCAATTCAGGACTAATTATATGAACACTGTGCTCAATTTGTGGACTACATTTTTAATGAATTTATTCCAATGAACTGCTTATGTGACCAAGACAATCTTTAAATCAGGGTTGGAAGAACTTAACTTCAGTAACAGTAGCCATAACACATTGTCAAAAGATATATCTATTTGTGTCTGATTAGGTTTTACACAAAAAAGTTCAATTAGCTCGTTAGGAATTCTTAAAATTACATCTGATACTTACTCCCTCATTGAAAGGTCATGTATTTAATTTCAAAAGCGTAACCACTGGACGGAATACATCTCAGTGTACATGTGCTGGAGGGTAATAGTTTCCACCTCACATTTGTGTACATAAAATCACATAAAATCAGCTCATACGTTCACCTTGTGAACTCAGATTTCCGGCGAGCTGTTTTCTTATTCAGCAGATGAATATGAAAACAACCTTGTGGTGTCAAACTCTGCACACACTCACATCATTCTGCACAGTGAAGGTCAAGCATCCAGCTGAAGTACCAGTAAACAAAACAGATGTCTGAGTGGAGGAGGGACTTTAAATGTTTTAGTGAACTGAAACATTAGTATGCAAGTAAAATTTTAGTCTTGTGGTGGATCTAATAAATACCTTATATCTGCTGGATTGTTTTAATCTGTAACAACGCCTCATGTAGCAGTAGCATAAAATGGAAAGTGCAATACTTGAGTGAATGTACTTTCCACTCATGCTTTTAAAGTGTTAGGTAGTAGATCAGCTGAACAATTTGTCTACAAGCAATGATATGATTCATTAAATATGTGCAATAAAATTAACTACTGTTTATAACCTCAACTAAACTAACATTATCCCTATGTCCCCACAATAATTAGCAACTGAGCAAAATAATTCCATGAAATAATTATAAAATAATTTAAAAGATAATTATAGGATGAAGTGTTTCATTTAAGTCCTATGTGGTTAACTTCATCTATACAAAAAAGAATCAGTGACATAAGTTTCATTTTTTTTATTATTTTAATCCACCGAAGTCAACACAGATAGGGTCAAATGCTGACGGGACCAACGATTTCCCCCAAAACCCTGGTAACCTACAAAACATACATGACCGAGAGAGTATCACACTTGCTGGGAGAGGGGCAACATACATTACAACTCAATAACCATTACCAAGAAACTTCCCCAAATGTAAATCACTTCACATTATAGCTTGGCAAACAAAACCTACACTTGACAAGGCAATGAGGAAGAAAAAATCCAGTGTTTTACAGTGTAGTCGTACAGTGTGGTCGTACAGTGTGGTCGTACAGTGCGGTCGTACAGTGCTGCGTCACTGACAACCCCTTGTGGTTTGGTGAATACAGTTACTACCTTGAGTGAATCCGGTGTCAACAATGTCGGGCAGATAGAGGGGTAAGAGAAGAAGAACTGGATATCTGGTAATTCATTCACAACACTAACACCGAGAACAGTGGACACATCATCAGCACGCTGTGAGGGATTTCATAAACATACTGAAGCGTTTTTCATCAGGTCTCAAAGATCATGGTTCCACCTCTTTAAAGAGCCTTCATAGATACAGTGTGCTATCAATATCTTACAGAATAGGCAAGCAAGTAGTTCAATTCAACAAATATCCTGAAACAAACAGACATATCCAATACAAATAAAAAGCTGCAAGCTCACATACAGTTTTACCATTTTGGATTGTTACGGGTGCAAAACAAATTCTGTCAAAATTGGGTAAAAGGTGACTCTACCCTGGCTGCTGTTATTACAAAGCTTACTCAACTGCTGTGTGGATGTGGACATCATCTGCACATATACAGCGATGGTCATATAGCACCAGGTGCAGAGAGGCTGTCGGCAAACCTCCCATCTAGCTTCTTCGTGGTGTCTTGTCTGTATCCTGAACAATAGACACCGGTCTGATTATTGGAAGCTTGTTGCCCTGACAACCTTTCAACAAACATGAGGAAAAAACAAAATGATGAAATGAGGTGTGGAAAAAAAAAAAAAAAAAAAAAAAAAAAAAGAAAAAAGGGGGGGGAAAAAAAAAAAAAAAAAAAAAAAAAAAAGGTTCATGTCTCTCAGACAAAATGTTATGTACCATTTCTCCCTGACACATATATTCAGGGTGAAATTGAATGAGTGGTTTAACTCTAAAATACCCTTTCTTTTCCTTTCAGTGCAGTCAGTGCTTTCCAAAACAACTTAATAAAAACATAAAACATCAGTGTTAAAAAATGAAGAAAGTGCAACTATAACACAAAAGTAAGACCAAAGTGAAATGTTCAGCTAATACTGCAAATTTAAAATTAAAAGGTCTTCTGAGATGCAAAAACAATATTCTAATCTTCTGATCTTTCATGATTAGTATTTTCAGATTTTAAACAGCAATTTTATAGTGTAGCAGTGTTACAACATGGACAGTGGAGGCTTTACTTTCAACTAAAAGGTTGTAGCGTAACACGACCACCAGCACATTCTAACTAATATCTGGAAAATAAACAGCGCAAGAAGACAAAAATTGTAAACAACTGGTGTTGCTAAAATGCCCGCTCATGAAACCGACCGCTTCTCAGGCCCAGATTTCCTGTCACCTAAACTGCTCAAACATGGACCGCAAAAATTATACAAAAATGTAAACAAATGTAAACAAATTACTTTCATCAATAATCAAACTGGGCTTAAAAAAAAACAGCAAAAAAGCTGCTTCAATTCACTTGATCCTTCCTTGATGACAGTAGAATATGGCAGGAAAGATGAAACAGAATGGAATAGTGCTTTCTCTTTTTTTTTTCCCCATGAGGTGACAAAGTGGAAGTGTGAGAACAAGAATGGATGGAGTGCTTTTGGGTGGGGTGCAGGGGGAGTCAGAGGTGACCAGATGTGATGTGACAGCGGTAAGAGTGGCCTCTGGTCCCGTGATGCCCTGCGCCCCGGCTCAGTTGTGAGAGGAGCTTAGCCGAGGCTGGTGATGTTGGCTTTCCCACCAGGGGGAGCCACGATGCGCTGAGTGGTGCGACGAGGAACATTGTCGTCAATTTGGGCACCTAAAAAAAAAAAAAGAATTTAAATACAATATCATATAACTTAAACTAAGTCGTGACAGAGGACAATTCCTGCGAATGATATCTGTGCTTTGACTCACCAGACAGGCTGAAGCCAGACTGGTGAAGGTTGCGCACTGGCTGGTGAGTAAGCTGCTGCTGTTGCTGCTGCTGCTGCTGCTGCTGCTGCTGCTGCTGCTGCTGCTTGGCAGGGGAAGTCTTCACTGAGGAGACTGTGGACATCACCTTGGGAGTCAGAGTCACCTCACACACCGGCCCATCGTACAGGCCCCTGGGGACTCCTCGCAACTCTGTGAGCTAAACATACAGGGAAATTCATCAGACCACAAGCTGTGCGGTTCACCAGTTGGCTATACTCTAAGAAGTTGGCTCCTCTACAGCTGGATGAGCGCGCCTGCTCAAAAGGTGCAACTACTCGCAGTTAGGACTCACCCTGCTGCGAGCCTTTATCCTCTTGTACACTTGGTCGGGGAAGGGTTTACGGCTGACGTAGCGCCCACAGCCCTCGGTGGTGTGAAGGCTGCCCTCCTCCAACACTATCTTGCCCTGGCTGATCACCACCAGAGGACCTCCACGCACCTCTGTGCCCTCAAAGATGTTGTACTCCACAGCCTGGGGGAAGAGGACATTTAATTAGGAGACAATGGAATGCACAGTGTGCCTTTGATACATGATTAACACCACCAAACTATTTTTCATATATAATTATGCATAATGTAGAAGAAGACGACAATGTAAACTGATTTTCATTTGATATCATGTAGTCAATACAGGTAAAGTAACTATCTGACCAGGTTGTGGCTCTTAGCTGAGATGATCTTAGTGATGTCTGGGTCCCACAGCACGAGGTCGGCGTCAGACCCCACAGCGATGCGGCCCTTGCGGGGGTACAGGTTGAAGATCTTGGCTGCGTTTGTGCTGGTCACTGCCACAAACTGGTTCTCATCCATCTTTCCAGTCACCTTTTGGGACAGGAAAAAGAATCACATACTAGCATCTAAAAGATACACAAAGATTTACCAGGTCATTTGCTCTGGAGTACTTCAAGAAAAGATTTTTTGGAGTGTGAAACACGCTCACCACACATTTGTCCCAGATTAGGGACATCCTCTCCTCAGTGCCGTTGGTGCCCTCTGGAATTAGGCTGAAGTTATCTTTGCCTACTGCACGCTGAGAAGTCTGGAAAGTGCAGTGAGCACTCCCAGTCACCTGCAAGTCCCCACTATATAAGAAAGAAAGCAAGAAAACTTAGAATATGTTTAATATGTGCAGTAAGTGTCATCTTTGACCAGTTACTCATGACAAAACTGTGACATTTACTTGCTACAGTTCTATCTTTGTGGTAAGTGCAAGTAACTAAATGTCACTTCCGTGTCCCTCCTCTGTAAAAGGCATTTCGTAATGAATGTAGTCACAAAAGGAGGAACAGCTGGATTAAAAGAAAATGCTTCACACAGCTGTAACACATGTCAGACTGTGTTCCTGGCACAGATCACCTACCATGACAACAGGGAGTTGAGGTAGTCGGGGGTGGTGGGATCGGGGCTGAGTGGTGGAGAAGTGACATAGGCTGCTGCCTTGGCCCAGTTCTTGCTCCAGTAATGAGTACCGTCAGTGCCCAAGCTGGCAGATATGGGTTCTCCATAAACCACAGCACCTACGGCAGCAGACAGGATGATGTCAGAGTGAAGTGTACGTATACAGTATTTTGGCAAAGAAAAAGATAAAAATGTGTCCTCTTACCCCTTTTCCTGGCAAGAGCGATGACATCAGCAGCACTCTTGCTCATCACCTTGGTGATGTAGAGAGGACAGTTGGTCTGATTGGCTATGGTGACAGAGCGATTGACTGCCTCAGCCTCCACCTGCGGACACACACAGTCAGATTCATAATCACCATTCCGGCTCTCTGACAGCCTCTCATTTTCATTCTGGGTTAGTTAATCTTAAAAGTACATTATGTTGAAACCAGTCGTCCATCTTACCTCCTCTGGGCGGCTGAGTACATGACCTTCAGGGCCAGTGATCCCCAGCTCTAGAATACGTCTCTGCTCCTAAAAAATCCACACAAAGAACATTATAATCCAAAAATAGAAAGAAAAAAAAAAACCTACTGATAAAGACTTGACCAACTTCATCAGGGGCTTTGTTACCTCTGCAACGATGTCTCCATTCTCAGCATGCACCTGCGCAATGGCTCCGAGATCTCTGATGACACTGAACACCTCATAGATCTAGAAGAAAACAACACGCATTCATCAGCTCACAGGTCAGGCATCGACGCTAAAGACATCTAACAGCCTAGAAAACGTGCTCTGACAGACGACTCAGCGAAGATCCCACTAATATCCACCAGAAGCAAGCAAGCATACCTGAGAGTCAGAAAGTTGGAAAACATCCTTATAAGCCAAATAGACCAGGAAAGAGTTGACACCTGAAGATAGAAAACTTATGAGAGAAAACAGCCAAAGGTGGAATAAAGAGAGCAAAAGAAGGAAAATCCAGAGCGAAGGAGAAAGGTAAAATCAAAGAGATAAAAATTACAAAGCAGAAATATTGAGTTACTCTTTAGTTACTGTTTTTTCAGTCTGTGAAAAGTGTTTGATTTTTCCCTATGCAGTGTCAGGGAAACACTTTTTACTGAAACATTTCACTGTAGCAGTAAAAGTGGCGGGTAAGTCAGTGATTTCAAACTGTACGTGGAGACGGAAGGTGTTGACTACATACCGTGATCCTTCACTAGAGTCTCCATCTCTTCCTGAATGCCTTTGTTCCAATCAGTGATGTCCACATGCAGAGAATAGTCACAGCAGGACTTGCTATCAGCCCACTCCCTCCACTGTTTGAACGCAGGAACCAGACTGACGCCAGGCTCCGGCACCACATGGTCAACTATACAACACAAACAAACAGGTTGGATTGAATTAAAATCATACGCTTGACGGAATGTGCATCTGCAGCGTTGCAGTGTCTCTGCGACAGGATGACTGTGCTTTTAAAACTGGCTGAAAACACACATGGAAATCTGATATAATATAATACATACTGATCATGGTGGTTCCCCCAGCCAGGGCCGCCCGGGTGCCCTGGTAGAAGTCATCTGCCGCCACCATGCCTCGGTCAGGCATCTGGAATCGGGTGTGCACGTCAATACCTCCAGGCATCACCATTCTCCCATGAGCCTCTATGATTTTAACTCCCCCGGGAACGATGAGGTTGTCTCCGATTTGCCTGAAGGAGAAAATGAATTAAGGAAACATGATGAAACTAAGGTAATCTATATTCCAACGATCAAGGTAATAGGTGTGTGTGGACTTCTTGTAGATGATGTAACTTTCTGTGATTATTCTTATGGCTCTCATAGGAGCCAGAAACCAACCTGAGTAGCACAGTTAATCTTCATATTGAACTTACTTGATGACTCCATCCTCCATGTAGATATCAGCCAAGAATGACTGATCATCGTTCACTATCTTTGCTCCTTTGATGAGGAGACGGTCACTCTGCAACACGGAGACAGCGTTTCACATCAGCAACAAAGCACAAATTAGCCATCTGCTGAGCAGAGTAAAAGACCAAGAGGTCATCTCCTTTAATTGCTAGTAGCTGATAGTCCGTTCCATAAATTTTACCAGTTTCACAGAGAGAATAAAAAAGAACTTTGGACCAACTTTAGTTCATTTAGCTCAGGCATTTCTCAGTTTGTTCAGAGAACTCAACAACACTTGTATTAAAGCAGAAAGAATGCAGCTGAAGTTGTGAAATAGCAAACAGCCATCAACTTTCAGGAACAAAGATGAGGATAAACCTACATGATACTTTCACACATAATAGACACATCATTTGAGGGGAAGGAGCAATTCTTGATCAAAAGCCTCAAGTAAGAGCCCAAACACTTAGCTCCACCTGTATGAGATGAAAGGAGAGCGGACTAGGCTGGCCTACTTCTCCTACAGGCTTCCCAGGGTCTCTGAGGACAGTATGGAGAGCTAATGAAGACAAAAGTGGTTTACTGCAAACCTCACAGCAGGAAACACTCAGTATCTAACGTCCAGGGTGGGTGGACACGGACAGCAGGAATGCATTAAATATAGAAGTCATGGCTGTTTTGTCGTGATCTCTCATACCATTACTCTCCTATAAGTGGGTCATATAACCTTATGTGCTCTCTGTGCCTGAGTGCTCAGCGATGAGTGTGCTCAGGTTGTCATACACCTTTGCTCAAAACAGATTTCATGGTGCAAAAATTGCTGTGGTCCTTAACTCCATAAATGAATGGAAAGGATATACTATATATATATAGGATATATTAATCACAAGGCATTTTTACAGCAGGTGTGTGTGTGTGTGTGTGGAATATATGGAATATATATATATACACACACCTCTTCTGAAAAATACAGTGTATATATATATATATGTATATTTAGTGTCAAGCAATGTAGGCTATACTATAAACAGAAGTAGGAACTATGTGTTATATACCATTTATTAGGTACACCTAGACAAATCCAATGCTCTCTAATGTAGGGCTGCAACTAACAATTTTCATTTTCATTACTGATTATTCTGCCAATTTTTTTTTTAATTAATTGATTCATCATTTAGTCTATAAAATATCAGAATCAAAATGTGCCCATCTGAACTTCACAGTTGAGACAAATCTTCAAATGTCTTGTTTCATTTGATGAAAAGCCCAAATATCCTAAAATATTTAGTTACAATGATACAGGGTGAAGAAAAGTAGGAAATCCTCTCATTTGAGAAGCTGGAATCAGAGAATATTTGACATTTTCTTTCATTCATTCATCGTTTTCCACTCTAATCCAACAGTCCTGCAATAAATCCTACTTTCATGATGGTTACAATGTTTGGTTTTTGTTGAAACTGTTTTAGAGAGGGATTTTGGAGGATGTAGTTTGTGGTGTTGTTGAACTGCATTGCTTTATACAGAGAGGTATTGCCATTATTTAACTTACCCTCATCAATATGAGCAGGGTGGACAAAATAACAGGAACACCACCATGCTTGTAATAATGATTATAAAAAAATGTGACTTTTTCCAGCCTCATCATCATCATTATTGCATCAACACAGGGCTGCAATTAGAGATTAATTTCAATATCCTTAAATGCATTTTTTACTGTTTTGGTTAAATGTTCAATAAAACATCAAATGTCGATGAATGACATCATCTTATCAGCAGCCAAATAATCGAATAAAACACAAAGAGAAGTGTGCTCATTACGACTGTTCTTTTAACCGATGAAAACAATGAATTCATGTTTATTGTTAAACTGACTGCATCTAGATACAGTGGTAATAGATTTAACTGTATGATTTAGTACGATGAAGAAAAACTATTGTGAGGATATGACTACGACCTTCACAGCATTGCTATCATTCCTGCTTTGTAGACAATGTGATTTCAACAAATTCACTCACCGTTATTCAGGGACAAGGCCTAACCTTAGTGTTTTGCTAAAAGCTCTGCACAGTGAAACTATCTGCTTCTTTCCCAACTAGTAAGTGGTGTCTGACTGTGTGTGTCTGAAGGCCTGGGGGCTTGCTGCAGAGCCACTGCTGTCTGCATGTTGTGTCTGGGATGTCAGGGCTGTATGTTTATAACCCTGCTTTGACCTGTGAGAGACTTCACAACCACCTCGATAACTGTCTACACAATACAGACCAATGCATTTCACAAGACAGTTTGGTGCTATTGAATGATCAAAGTCAAAGCAGTTGCCGTCTGTATGCATCAGCACTCTGGCTATAACAGCTGCATGATGAAAGCTTAGGGAAAAAAGGTTTGGATGGGTGCTGTCCAATGACCTACTTTACAAAAGAGGTTTTACTTCTTTTAACTATCACAGCATCCCTGCAGTAGGCCGTTAATACTGTGCTCTCTGGTTATAAAGCTGCACCACGGAAAACATATCAGACATTATATCCTCAAATCCCCATTTTACAACAGTATTTCACACAATCAGGGTTAAATACTTCCAAGCTTGTCCTAGCTGCAGCATCGCAAGATTTTTGCAGAGAGGGCAGACAGAGTAGATGTGAGAGGATGGAGGATGGAAGACGAGAAGATGACAGTGAAGGAACCTGTGACTAAACAGGTTAACTACAACCTACAAGCTGAGGATGCTGAGGAGGAGAGCTAACGTTGCAGCTGCTAATGACAGCTATAGGAGCAAAGAGCCAAGCTCTGGGTTCTCCTGCTGTTTATAAAGAAAACTTGGTACCTAAGCTCCAAATGAAGAAGTGTCAAAGAGCTCTCTGCAAACCCACTCTCTGGTTCTCATTGTTCCTCCCGGGCTGTCAGTCTGTGCAGCTGAAGCAGGGCTGCTGCCGGTGACAGCGTCCGTGTAAATGAATGGATACGACAGCTAAGCGTTGGCTAGCTGTTGGTCTAATCTTGAGGCTCACCGCACGTTACAGTGATGCCTGCACTTCAGGATAAATGTGATATATTTTTTCAAGTGATTAAACAATACTCACTGTAATTCTTGGGATGTTCTTCTTTCCTTGGTAACCGGACATTTTGAGGATCCCTCTGACACAGCTGTCCCCTGCCTCTTGGCTAACGCTAGCTAGCTTTGACTGGAAAACCTCAGCTGCCAATGAAAGGATGAATGGATGCTCTGCTTGTTGGCCAGTCGACGCCCTGGGCGACTCCAGTCGAATAGCAAGTAACGTTTGCACAGTGCAGCCTAACAAATAATTTGAAATGAGTCGTTATGTCGTTGCCTAACAGTCCTATCCTTAGATTTACTGCTAGAATAGGTCCCTGAAGACCAGACAGGCACCAAGAACAGAAGGGCCACGAACAGATACCGCGCATGCGCACTGCCCCGCCCTGCACAGCCACAGCACCATGTTTCTCTGATGTGCTATCATCAGTTTTGGGGGAAACAGTTTAAGCATCACCTGTTTAATTGGCTCTGTCAGATCATCACGGGGCAGGGATCTCAACAGGCACCGGGGCAATAAAATAATTAAACATGAATAATAACAATAATAAAACATTAATCCTCAGTTGTATCAGTGGTTGATTAACTATGCAGTTGCTATTCCTGTATATGAGCTGGGTCACCTGCGTCATATCAGGAGAACCTTTTACGGGGAGCAGTCACATTTTGCCCTGGGCACACAGCTTGTATTCTCTGTTTTTTGACATTGGTCATTTTTAATTACTGTATGTATAGCTGAAAAGAATTAAAACACTATCACCATGAGCAATGTGGATGGATTATGAAACAATGGGATCCTGGGCACAGATGCGTAAAAGGCCTCTAACCCATCCAACATAGGAGGAGGACACCCAAGACAGTCATTTGTAGTCATTTTGTGTCTTCTTTTAGCCGTCTTGCATCTTTTTTGTTTTGTGACTCCTTGTAGTTGATTTGTGTTTCTTTGTAATCAGTTCGAGTCTCTTTGTGGTCAATTGATTGGCTTACTAACAGAGGTTCTAGTAAGAGGGGCCCCCTGGAACCTTGGGCCCCTACACCTGTGCCAAGTGAGGCCCATTCAGTAATCCATCAATGTTAAGTGATTTTACAACTTAATTATGTTACACCAAACACACAAGGTAACCAAAACAAACATGGCAATCAATGGGCATCCAGCATTGGAAGACAGATAGTAGAAACTTGTTCACCACAGAAAAACGTGAGGTTCATTCAAAGGATCCACCAAATATTTTTTACATATCAAATGTTGACAGGAATTCCAATAACTACTAGATACAAAACAGTACCTGTACGAGTTTACATCAGAGTTTAAAGGAGAAAGGACTTTTGTCATATCCACAACCTCCTGGAAGCTTTCTTTTAGAGGAACCAACGATGTGTCTGTTGTTTCAAAGGCAGCTATCGTGCATGATTGTGACACTGATGAAAGCTAGCTAGCCAAAAAAGTAATTTGTTGTCACTGAGTGCAGTCCTCTTCAGTGAAATAGGATATTATAAATATACAGTGGAGGAAATAATTATTTGATCCCCTGCTGATTTTGTAAGTTTACCCTCTTACAAAGAGTTGAACAGTCCATCATTTTTATGGTAGGTTTATTTTAACAGAGAGAGGCAGAATATCAACAAAAAATCCAGAAAAAAACATTAAATAAAAAGGTTATAAATAAATTTGTATTTGATTGAATGAAATAAGTATTTGATCCTCAAGCAAAACGTGACTTAGTACTTGGTGGAGAAACCCTTGTTGGCAAGCACAGAGGTCAGACGTTTCTTGTAGTTGGCCACCAGGTTTGTGCACATCTCAGGAGGGATTTTGGTCCACTCCTCTTTACAGATACTCTCCAAATCCTGAAGGTTTCGAGGCTGTCGCTTAGCAACTCAAAGTTTCAGCTCCCTCCACAGATTTTCTATGGGATTAAGGTCCAGAGACTGGCTAGGCCACGCCAGGATCTTAATGTGCTTCTTCTTGAGCCACTCCTTTGTTGCCTTGGCCGTATGTTTTGGGTCATTGTTATGCTGGAAGACCCATCCACAACCCATCTTCAGCGTTCTGGCTGAGGCCAGGAGGTTCTCATCCAAGATTCCACGGTACATCAATGCGGTGAAGTCTTCCTGTACCTTTAGCAGAGAAACAGCCTCAAAGTAGAATGTTTCCACCTCCATTTTTGACAGTGGGGATGGTGTTCTTGGCGAGTCAAGTTGATGCCAAAGAGCTCAATTTTGGTCTCATCTGACCACATCACATTCTCCCAAGCCTTCTCTGAATCATTCAGGTGTTCATTGGCAAACTTCAGACAGGCCTGTACATGTGCCTTCTTGAGCAGGGGGACCTTGCGGGCACTGCAGGATCTCAATCCATTATGGCGAAGTGTGTTACCAATGGTTTTCTTGGTGACTGTGGTCCCAGCTCCCTTGAGATCATTAACAAGTTCCTCCCGTGTAATTCTGGGCTGATCCCTCACCTTTCTCAGAATCATCCTTACCCCACGAGGTGAGATCTTGCATGGAGCTCCAGAGCGAGGGCGATTGACTGTTATCTTGTATTTCTTCCATTTTTGAATTATCGCGCCAACAGTGGTCTCTTTCTCTTCAAGCTTCTTGCTGATGCTCTTGTAGCCCATTCCAGCCTTGTGCAGGTCCTTTGACAGCTCTTTGGTCTTGCCCATGGTGGTGGAGAGGTTAGAATGGAAGAGATTGATTCTGTGACAGGTGTCTTTTATACACATAACGAGTTGAGATTAGGAGTACTTTCCTAAAGGGACAGCACTAATTTGACTGCCTCATGGGCACATAACCGGTCTGTTGGGGTCAGAATTCTTGCTGGTTGGTAGGGGATCAAATACTTATTTCACTCAATCAAATACAAATTAATTTATAACCTTTATTTAATGTTTTTTTCTGGATTTTTTGTTGATATTCTGTCCCTCTCTGTTACAATAAACCTACCATAAAAATTATGGACTGTTCATGTCTTTGTAAGGGGGTAAACTTACAAAATCAGCAGGGGATCAAATTATTATTTCCTAATATTATTATTATTATTATTATATTTTCCTATGATAGTAAAACAAATAGCAGGCTATAGGAGTGGTGACACCTAAACTGGCCAGGCAGGAGAGGGCTGAGGGCCTGTGTGATCAAGTCTATTTGAAAACCTACATGCAGCAATCCTACACTCTCTTTCAAACTCTTTATGATTATCATGTTCATGTAAATTGACTTCCATATACAATTGTATTTATGTCCCAGCCTCTGTATGCAGTATAAGGTCTGCTTAAATTTTAGTGTTCGCTGCAGCTCACTGATCAGCTGTGAAGAAGCCCATACTGATGATATGTGCATTTTATTAGTCATTATGGCTTTAATAATGCATTAAGATCCATGGAGCTCTGTCACTTCTTTTGTATTTATACCTCAGCCACTGTATACAGTACAAACTTTATTCAAATTCCAAAACGCTCTGTATTGCACACTGATCAACTGTACATAAGCCTGTTATGATGACATGTACAGTTTATGAGTTAGTATGAGTTATATAATGCATTAAAGCCTAAATGCATGTTGAGTGCTTGAAAACCACTACAGCCAGTACTGTACATTATGGTCAATGATTTTTCATATGATTATAACGTCATCCATTTACAAACACTGACAAAGGAGTCATCCAGTCATCCAGTCAGCATCAATATACAGAAATCATGTGCATTTTCTTCAGGAAATGCTTTCTATTTCTGTCGTTTTCCTGGAGGTTCTACACACACTGTACACTGTTTATTGTTTCATACTATGTGAAATGATTGCACAGTGAAATCTACATAAAAGTCTGATAACACTCTTAAATGAGGCCCCTGGAAATACCTTCCTTTGTGGTGGTTTCTGCAGCTGGCGCTTCAGCAATTAAACGACAGGAAAAACACATTACTTACACCGCCACAATGCATAAGCTACAATATGCATTAATATCAATGTATAAACAAATTATACAATGTCAAAAGGTGTCTATTACATGGGGCAGATCACAGCTTAAATTATTTTTCACATCTACGTCTTTAAATACCTAAACATATAAGAAAATCAAAAAACAGTCTAAGATAAATCACCAATGTGCAGTGGTGAAAGATACAAATTTGGCACTTTGCCTTTTCTGCTATATTATGTGTTAAAGAAGAAGATATGTAGGCAAAAAGAAATACAAATAGCATATGGCCTGGTAAACTGCCATCCGGCCTAGGTTCCACTATCATAATATACTCAAACAACCTCGCTGTAAAATTTTGGAGCTACATACTACATCAATGTTTAAGCTTTCCAACCTTCAAATAAAAAAATTAAAAAAAACAAAGCTTTTAAAAGAAAATACAAGGAGTCAAAATGATTCAACTTCTATTCTCCAAAGTGTGTGGAATTTAAAAACTAATCCCACTTGTGCAGCATCATTGTGTTGCCCACCCACCCTGTGAACTGCACCTTGAATGTAAAACTCAAAAAAGTTAAGGCTATTAAAGTCCCTTCTGTTCCCAGAGCCAATTCAATTAGTTTGTATTGCATATGTGGCGCATATCTTTTGGTTCATACACCCTGCCTGCTGAAATACCAGAGGAGAGGTGCCGCTTAGGAGAAGGCCAGATTTCTCATGACATTACATCAAAACAAGTGGAGAAATTTCAGAAAAAAATCCAAAACCCAGAAGCCGTCTGACATCAAATCCTTTGTCACATATTTTTGAGTTGAAAAGGATGACTAATTATATTCCAGCTCTAACGGCAACTGTTATCTACTGGATTCAAGTTGGTGACATCTGCTAGGTACAATGACGCCCTGTGTGAAAATGTGATGGAGTGCAACCACATTACGCAATGTGCATACTTTTATAACTAACATCTACAATGGGACAGAATTGGATGCTGATTGGAAGGGAAATGCGGGTGTACAACAGATGCAGAGAGACATCTTGGCTACATGAGGATGGTTGAGACACTTGGAGACAGGACAACATCCAGGCACTGCTTCATCCTCGATTCAGTAAGAGCTGGTGGAGGCTGTGGCAATTCTCTTCCCAATGTACACCCTAGAAGAAAAAAAAAACAAAAAATGCATCAGATCAAACCAGTTGGATAAGATGGATTAATGCACAAAAACATTTTGGGCAAATAATGTAGTTGTGGAATAAAGCCATAAATCTATATAAATTGATTAATTCAAAATAAGGTGCACATTTCCATACACATGCAAGCCAGTTTGTTACTCTGAATTAAATAAGTTATCCGAATGAACTGGTGACAATCCTACTCTGCTCCTAAACTTTCAGTAGGCAGTTGATAGGTGCATCATTTAGGAGTGATTTGCTCTGGAGTGTGCCGCAGCAAGTCTGCTCTTCACCACATTCACTGTTTTATAAATGAGGCCCAGGTCTGAGCAGACAGGCAGCAGATACATAAAATGAAAAACATCAATGCGACTTGAGAAAATGTAACTTTGTCACTGCAAAGCTGAGCCTTTCATTACATGGAAACAAGACTGCATGAAGTCAGACTCACCCGAGGCCAAGAGCGAGGATGTGTGAGATGAGTAAGGAAGGGATGAAGACTTTGAGGAATTCGGCAGAGAAGATGCCACCTTTCTTCATGACTCCACTCTTCCTCATACTGAGAGATACTGAACGTCTCGGGTGCCTGAAGTGGAACTCCCTAACAGGTATAATCAGTCAACCAGTTAATGCAAACATATTTTAGAAAACAACTGACGACAATATCCTGCACAACTATTAGTGAGTGATACTGGAAGAGAGAGTCTGCTTACTTTGGTGGAATGTTTTCTGGTCTGCTGGACCAATCAGCGACCCAGTCTACTTCTTTGTTCATGAGGATGTCTTCCTCTCTGTCCTTCTCAGCACCATCTTCCTCTGACTGCAAACGGGGAGATAAAGCAAGTAGGTTTTTAGCAGGAAATGAAAAGACTTGAAAAGGGTTTAAACTTTAGAATGAAATATGTTGTTTTACCTGACTACCTGTCGGGCTGGACATCTCTACGTCAAAAGTTATCTGACCCTCATCCTGATCAGGACTTGGTGGCCTGTGAGGACTGAGTCAACACATTGGAATAAAAAAAAAATATACATATATGAAAATTTGTTCAGCAAACAGCAAAGAAAGACAAGTCCACTTTACCTCCATGCAAACACACTTGTCAGAGCTTTAAACAGCATATTCCTACCTATCACAGGAAGAGCTACTTGGGCTGGATTCATGCTGCGCATCCAAGAGGATCTTTTCCATGTCTCCATTGTGGATAGAGGAAGATGATGGCACATGCTCTAATCCTCCAATAAGGGTTTCATCGTTCTCAGGCACCACCTCCAAGGTCTGCAGAGTTTGACTCACAGCAGCATTTGCATTTATTTGGTCAGCAGCGGGTGTCATTAGCAGGTTGGTCTGCATGCTCTGGGTCCCTGTGTTTCCATTCAGCTCCAGCTCTACCCAAGAGCCTTAGCAACACAAAGGTCAAGATGAGATAGGGAAGGGACATTAGGCTCGTTGTGTCAAAGTGCAAACCCCAACAGCAGATTGTGTACCGCACAGTAACACACCTCTGCCTCCTTTCAATAGGAAATAGCTGACCTACATTTCCTGCACCACTGACACTCTGCATTCAAATGAACTGGCTGTGCACTGCATCCATGATAGCATGCATTTCTTTGTGCTACTGCCCCACAAACAGCTTGCATTTTTTTTGCCAAACAGGATGGAGTTATGTAATCTCTTACAGCCAGCGGGCTTGGTTGAGCACCAAATGTAAACCTTCCAACATGAGACGCCCATTTTTCCCGCTTAGGGCTCGCTGAACGTAAAATATATTTCATGTAATTCGACGACGCACGGATGCATGAGACCGACTGCACATTTACAAAGCAGCAAGTCATCAATGCTGCTCTCATGTGAGGTCTTGCATAACTGTGGAGTGCAGTGTGAGACAATCTGCCCAGGCATGTCGCTGTTCCAGCTGTGATGTTGATCACATATAAAGCGCACGTCCCGGGCCTCTGTCAGAGCTAATTATTTAGTCCATAACAAAACTGTTTATAGATTCAAGTCTGAACACACCTTTTTCCCATTTTAGGGGCTGTTTAGTGTGCAACCACTTTGGGCTAACATCCTACCATTGGCTTCCTTTACAATTGACAATTAATTAGATAGACAGTGTCCTGTTGAGTAAAAAGACAACTCGGTTACACTAGTAGCCAATGTGATATGAGTTATTATCAGAAAATTCAAATAACAGTAGCAAATAAAAGCAATATTTATTTCGTCTTTTGTCCCAAACTTGTTTTCATTTTGTCTAGAGCCCGCCCAACGCTGTCTGCTGCACGCGATTGGCCTGCAATTCCATCAATCAAACATTTATGGCAACGCAATTGGCTAGTTTGCGGTGACGCCAAACGACATCACCCTCCACCCCTCCCAGAAGAAGAGGAAATTCCATACCCGATGTAACTTTTACAATAAACTCTCCAATCTCCACGAATAATCTCAAAAACACACACACTTATTGACAGTATCTACCGCAGCCTTAGTAGCGTGGAGCACGGAAAAACTGACGACGGTACGTACCGTGAAGCCCGGGCTCTTCGTTATTGTTTTGCTGAGCAGCAGCGGTGGACATGTTGACTCCCCAGCTTCAGCATTCATCAACATGACACGCAGACAAACTATCAAGTGCGCAGGCGCCAAATCTGTCCAGAGTCCAGACCACAGACAGACAAGGCACTCAAGTTAGCTCTGGATCAGTGAACGGCTTTTTAAAAATATTTTCTTTGAAATGTGCTATTTTTACTTAAAAGATCAAAAATAGTCCCTCGTCACAAATATACGTGACTGCAAGATTTACCAACAAACAGTGACAGTAAAGTGATGTTATTAAGAATAAAGTTTGTCCGGGGACATTTATGCTGGAGTGAGTCAAGGACATGGATGGACTCTTTCTATCTGAGCCATCTGAGCCTGTGGAGGGTTTGAAGACTGATGATAGTAGTAAAGCTGGCCCCAGTCACCTCCTATCACTCACTCTTCAAATATAACTGCTTGGCTACATGGCTGCACTTTAATTAATGTGGGGAGGTATGTATAAACATTAGCAGTGTTTGCTGTAGATTTGTAGAGGATGGCTCTAATATACATCACCCCTGCTCCAGGTCCATAAAAAGGTCCTTATGGATTATGCACAGCTTGTTTTTGGAAAATGAATGTCAAGCGATGCGTTTCCACAGTATCATGTAAAGTGAGAGGCAGGGGGTTACATGCACAACATGTGATTTCAAAGAGGTTGAACAGAAGAAGATAGCACTTGAGCAAAGTTCTGCACCTTCCCTGTTGACCCCATGGCAGGTGAGGTGGTGGGGGCAGGTGTAAACTGTGGTCATAAAACTATATACTATGTTGGATGATTATTTGCTGAGGGTCAAATGGATGCATATCAGTGTTACTTCCCTGCAAGATCTTAATATCTTGGAGAAATCATTATGATCAGCAGGTTTGTTGTAAGAAGGGATTTGCATTGTTAGACAATAATTTTACCAAGAGCAGCAGTGTGCGACACCACTGCAGAGATATGAAATATTTTGCCCTTTTAAAAACAAAGCAGCGACTCTGCCTTGGTGATGAAACAGGCCTAAAATAGTGTGTGTAGGCTCTGCAATAACAAAAATCAAGTCCTGACAAAGCCCATATTTATGCAATCAGTTCACATTTACAGCTCATATTATCTTCCATGCACAAACAATAAAGCAGGTCATTCATTTTATCCAGAATTCAGGTTTGAAATTCTTTATTACTTTTCATCTAAATTGTACTTTATTCCATTTGACAAAGACAAACATAGCTGTACAATGAACCATTTAAACAGATCACCAAAACTCTCCTACAATCTTTATTCAAGAGCCCCTTGAAAGAAATAAACAAAAACATACAAATTAATGAAATTCACAAAAATAAAAGTGCATTTTGTTTTTAACTCCTGTGATACATTAGACATGTATATAATGCTGCTGCAAGTGGAAAAACCTCATAACTCCAATTTAGACAGTTTCCTTGAGATTTCATGATCTTTAAACTGTATGTAGAGCAAGTTTCGTTGACCCAAGGTTCATGTCAAAAGCCATTATAGAAACATGAATGTAAAAAAAAAAAAAAAAAAAAAAAAATCTATGATCTACCTGTCAGTAAGGCAGATTTTCCTGAGAAGCTGCCTTCTTGAAGGTACAAGGTTTTGATCACAGAGCAGCAGTAAATTCCCCTGAGCAGTCTCCTGTCTGGCATACCAGAAAGTTCAAGAAACATACTTGATTATCTTATTTCTTCTTAATGCTATGAGAAAGGCAATAGGGTTCTTCTGAACATCTTTGTGGTTTACACCATAGCCTTGAGCAATAGCTATGGAGACATATGGGGAAAGTGAAAAATATTATTGGTTAGTTTATTCATTTTATGAATGTCAGTGACACTCAGTCTGTGGTGATCGTCTCTACTGTGTCTGCAAACATGGGATTTTGTAAAAGCCAAAGTCAACATTTTTCCAAAAAGAAAACTTGCCAATTCTGATCGGGTATTATTTCTATGTAGATTTTTGCATTTTCAAAATTTTTTCACAACTTCCAACAGGTTGTTAGAACAGTTAATACTTGACAGTGAATGAGTGAGTAAATGCTTCTTTGAATGAATGACAGGACAAAGCTGATCACTGATCTCATATTTTGAATGGACAACTCTCTTTCTGTATGGGTTGCTAACTCAGTGGCTAACTGACAGAATCCTCCTTGACTGTGGAATGGGACTTTATACATATGTGACTTGAGGCAAATAACTTGAACAACCCTCACACAATCTTGCATCAGACAATAAGAAAAGTTGTTTTTCAAAAAGGGTGCAAAAAAAAAAAAAAAAAAAAAAAAAAAAAAAAAAAAAAACAGATTAACAAAGTGTCTTAATAGTAGAGGACATTACCCAGAGCCCTGAGAAAGAGAAAGAGAAAGAGAGAGAGAGAGAGAGAGAGAGAGAGAGAGAGAGAGAGAGAGAGAGAGAGAGAGAGAGACTCAACACCACAAATGAAGGAGATGGTTATTATTTTTGTGGCATCCTAGTGATTTGGAAATCAGTTCTCTATGGTAGCAGTCACACATAAAATGTGGTTCAATGAACCAACAGGCTTCATGCCCTGATTCATGGCTTAATCTGTCACCAGAACAATTGTAATATAGTGGAAACTGAGCTATAATCAACCAGTTTTCTCCAAAGAGAAGTGGCAACATGGGACCAAAGCATAGTGTAGCAGAGAAACAGCAGAGTTAAACGTTTTCCATGTTCAGTACAGTCATTAATGACGGCTTCCATACAACAATCATCTTCAAACCAAGTGCTTCACAAATTCTCCTTTTCAAATAAACAAGTGTGTATAGGAGAGCTACCCCTGCATCACAGGAGAGAGAAGACATTTCATACAATAATTCAAAATCAGTAACTCTGCCTAGTCAATTGACTTGACTAACTTTAGAGAGAACTTGATTTTACAGTTTTAATATCACATGTTGATTAAAATGCCTTTCCCATTTAGGCCTTCAAGGACCTATTCTTTCACAGGAGCTCAATGATTCATAAACAAACCATGGCACAAAAACAGAACATTAAGATCCAAATTAGCTCAGAATCTAAGTGAAGTGTCCAAATAAGTTCTACATAAACATCAGTTACAGTAAGCCAAATTAAAAAAATAAACTGTTATAGTGCTTATGACTACAGAGGTACTGACACCTGAAAATACTTTTCTTTGGACATCCCACATCAGAAACGACACACTTCCTTGATGTCACAAAAAGTCTCTAGCTTTCAAACAAATTCTTGCCAGAATGAACAAAATAGTCATATTACAAAAAGGTTACCTGACCTTCAAGCGACCTTCAATCTACAATCAGTCTGAGATAGACAGCTAAAGAAACTACAGTGATCAGACTGTAATCCTATTGCCTTAATTTATACAAAAATAAATCAGCTATAGTGATTATTCTTCTCTTATCAGGTACGGTACAAAACATCATTAAAAAAAAAAAAAAAAAAAAAAAAAAAAAAATCTACAAACAGAAACAAGATCCAGAGGGTAAAGCGATTAATCAATCTAGAACAACACAATGCGCTTTGTGGGGAAGCTGACAGCAGCACTCAATGTTGGTGCCACAAACCGCAAGAGAATTAGGCCACAGCACGCCATCGTGCCCTTCCACGTATATAAGCTTTTGTCCTGAGCTTCATATGGTGGTCCACACATGTGCAAGGGTGCCCGGTCTGACCGGTGACACCTTGTCTGCAAGACAGCTTTAAATTAATCTATCTTTAGAGTGTATAGGACTGGTTACTTTGGCATAATTGGCCCCCACTTAACTCCCAAAACCACAATACCTGACAGATGTGTGCGCAAGTCATTCTTGTGTCCATGTTAAAGGACGATTTTTTTTTTCTTTTATGTTTTAGCCCATTAACTAGAAATCAATTACACGTCACTGCCGACAATTTTCCTAATTGTAGCCATTTCAGTGCTCTATGAAAATCAACTTACAGGCTTGAGCTTGAGATAAGTAATCCATCCCAATGAACATTTTAGGCAAGTTTTTAGTAATGCATGTGAGAACCAGGGATTGTTTTGAAAACCTGATACCGATATGTTCAGGACACTCAAGCAGATTACAAGCTGCTATTGTGTCAGAAGCTCTAATCCAGAGGACAGATGTTTAGAAACATGAATGTTCTTGCAAACATAAGGTGAATTTCATTATATCCTGCATTAAAAAGGCTGATTTTAGACGACTTACATTTATTATCATGTTTCAGTATGCTCGAACACACACTGTGTTTTCTTAATTGCGACTGTGTTACAACATAATAATTAATTTCACTTAAAGACAGCAAGAAGCTCACTGTGATGGAATACAACTCAAGTCAGGTTCAAGTATGCTGACTTTCTTACTGTAGACTGTAGAAAAAGGTTAGCAGTAATGTAAGTTATACACTATTTGTAGAGAATGAGCTAAAACATAATAAAATACTAGAATAGTCCTTTAACAGCATAACCATACTGTACATCTGGAAAGAAATGGTGAGTGAACTTGGCAACTTGACAAATACTTGGGGCAAATATGGAGTGTTGACAGCTTGTATTAGCAGTGTTTCAGGCCAGTATGAAAAGGAACATGGTGACGGAAACATGTATAAACAGTATTAAGAATTTCCTATTTATACTAATAAAACATGGCAGCTACAAAAAATGATCAACAATTGGTAGCTGTGACATACAAGTGAATCATGTCACGATGGCACAAAAGAATAAAGAAAATGAAATAGCCAAATATGTGCATTTAACTCATTTTCCCTTTGGTTTGGGATGTAGTGGAGTTGCAAACAGTAACTTGGTGAATGGAGTGATTCTAATGGAGGAAACCAATGACACTAAGTCACAAAGTCTGGTCTCAGATCTACAAACCCTGCATGTCTACAGTTGTTGTATACATGGAAAATGTGCTTGTGATGGCCTGCTTGGATGTACTGTGTTAATGATGCCGTTTGTTGTTGACAGAGTAAGTCTTGTCACATTCAATACTTAATTCACCAAGAGCAGATCATATCAAGACTCGGGGGTTTAGCCAAAGACAGACAAATATTGTTTGTTATGTGTGTATCAGAGCAGCGGGGCTCAAGCAGAAAACTGGGATCTGGGTTCAACAAATGCTAGTTGAGTTTTTCCTGGAATATGTACAGATTGTTGGTGGTGGCCACAGCAATGATGTTGTCCAGAGGATGCCAGGCAGTGTGGAGGATCTTCTTGTTAAAGTCAAGACTGTCTACACTGATCTCGTCCTTCTTGCGCTTCCCACCTGTGCTTACTTTGCGAGGTTTTAGGACCGATCGTGGTTTGCTGTTCTCCCGCGATGCCTCTAGGGTTACGTCCTGCCGGTAGCCTCTGTCAAACATCCTGAAGAAGTTGTTGTAGGAACCAGTCATCACAACACTGCAGAGAGACAAGTTATGAGTGAGAGATAGTAAACCAGATTATAACAATGAAGGAAAACTAATCAAAAAGCCATAAGTGTATACTCAGAACATGTCCAGAATACCCTTCTGCCATCCAAACCAAATTGTGTGTGGCCTTACACTCTGCACTGGACAGATAACTTCCTCTAAATGATAAGGCCAATGTTGCAGGGTTCAGCTGCGTCAAAGAGTCAGCCCAAGACATTTTTACATATCATGCATGTTGAATGTGTGGGGAATTGCAAACACCAGATTATCCAAAGATGACTGCATTGATGACTGGATATGTAAACAAGTAAATAAATAAAAATAGGTGCTCACCTGTCGTTCCCATTCCAACAGCACTCAAACTTGTCGAAGATGCAATCATTCTCATACAGTGAACACAACTTACTCCTGAGATATTCATGCACCTGTTAAAACAAAGTGAAGAACAGGTGTTGTAGTGACGATCAGCAGTTGTGCAAAAATGAAAATAACATTACAAGAGACCTGGACATTTTGATAATAATTGCAGTAAAACACCCCCCTCTTGTGGAGAAACAGTAGAACGACGTAAAATCTGCAGGACAAAAAAAAAACTGATGTAATGTATTTTTGTCTCAGCATGGCAACAGTTACAGACCTGATATGTCTCTACTGGTCGGGTCTCCATGTTGAGATCCCAGATTTTGACAGACAGGTAGTCGCGGGTCATCATGTAGCGTCCACTGTGGCTGAACTTCACATCAGAGATGGATGAGATGATTTCAGAAAAGAAAGAACGATTGTTTGGATCCTCTGGCTCTTCAAACACTTAAAAAAAAAAAAAAAAAAAAAAAAAAAAAAAAAAAAAAGGAAATGGATGCATGCCATTAGTATTCCCTGACTGCTATTAAGTGCAATGACAGTCTTCTTCTTCTTCTTTTTTTTTTTTTAATATAGCCGTTTATAATTTGATGCAGCAACATATTAAAATCTGTCTGCACTCTCAGTTCTGTATTTTTGGCAAAGAGTATTATGCACATGATGTTTTTACAAGCATGCTTTCTCTAAAATTGGAAAATCTAACAGAGAGAAGAAACAGTTTTGGAGCTCTGACCCTTGCCCGCTCATACAGGCACTTCACTAGTCAAGACTTCTTCTCAGGAAACTGCAGGCTTCATTAAAGCAGATTTCTTGGCAGATGCTACAAACTCTGCTGTTAGAAAGGCTTTAAAGATTTGAACGCCATCCTCGTCAACATGCATGTCAGTTTAAAAAGATACTATTCCCATAGCCCTTTCCGGAGAGACTGGGCTCACAATATGAGCTGGTCGATCAGAGATTGTTAGGCTCTTCATACGCATTAAAGCAATGTCTATCTACTAAAGCGAGCACGCTGACATTTACTACTTTCATTGTCTATCATCCAGTTTCCTTCGGCATAACACAGACACTCATCAGGATTCATCAGTTCCCCTGCAGGCACACAGCACAGATGAAACTCGCTTACTTTTGGCGTGCTTGTCGCACAGTGCTGATGCCCTCATGTCACACATGCGGATGGTGCCCTTGCTGCTGCTGTAGACAAAAGTGTTGCATTGGTTGGGGTGAAACTCCGCTGCTGTGATCACCTCCGTCAACTCCTCCATATTGGCTGGCTTAATGTCAACAATATCTGAAGAAGTGAGGTTAAGGTCAGGGGACTAAACAGACATGACCATGACTTAAATAGAAATACTCTAAAATAGTGTAATGGAAAAATTCTCCAGTCTAAAAAAAAAAAAAAACTTTCCTCTTTGACCATGCATTCAGAATGCCATCTATTATAGCTGCTCTGAACTAGTTAGGTGTCAACATCAACATTGCCTTATTTTGTGAATGCACTTACAATGGCAAGTAGCATTTGACTGGGACTCAATTCATTTTGCTCCCTTGGAGAATTAAGACACTAGACAGCAACAGAAAGTCATGTGGTCAGCTCAATGCAGGAATAAAACATTTCTTTACACTAGAACTACTCTGGGGTCAAATATAACATACATTTAACTTTTCAACATTCAGACTATGTTGGAGCAACTATATGTAAAAGTTTAAAAATCTCCACTTTGGGGGAATCTAGTGGTAGCATCAGATATGACATTGTGGCAGACACCAATGCACACCAATTAATTTTTCCCCCATGATTAGTTTACTTTAAAACACAGTGTCTAACATTTTTTAATACACCAGCAAAGTGCCACAGAACCATAGTTTGCATGGCTTATATAACAAAATGGATTGATTAATTCACTAACATGGATTAAAACAATGGAGTCCTAATAAGCAGTGGGTTTCAGTTTTGCCACAGGGACTGAATGATGTACAGTCTGAATGTATCCAGTGTGATGTGTGGTGGGAGGTGAACAGGATGCATGCAGGGGATCATGATCTCAGAGTGAGTCAGAACTACCTTAGAAGAAAAAAAAACAAACTAACCAGGACATAACATTCATTATTTCACACAGTACCTACACAGAAAGAAACAAACTTGTGGTCACTTAAAAATTTATCACAAGTTTGTCTTTGCTTCTTGATAAAACTGTACACAAACAACAGAAGAATTATGTCAAGACCTATAAAGATGATGGCTGCATAGAATTAAAGAACAGAAGGATACTAAAGCTGCGATCAGTGATCTCCAGATGCCAGAGGTTAATGCGCAGGTCATCTGCAGACAGGTAGGTCTCACAGTCACTGTTGACTGATATGGAGTTGATGTGGTAGGTGTGAGCATTTGCAAACACTCGCCTAGGGCTGGCTTCCACCATCAAGTCCATGGGCCTGAAAACTGGTACCTGAGAAGAGGAGAGGGTTTTAGCATCACTTCATTTGTAGGTAAGATTGTGTGTTCATCATATCATCCTCTATTTTACAAATTGCATTTTGATGATTAAGGTTCGCTGATACTGACACAAACAGATAAAAACAGTTAAAACAAAGGTCTGGCCTCATTTTAACTGGCGAGTCTGTTAAACTGAGTCTATATTTGGAAACTATTCAATAAATATAGATCAGTGTTTCACAAACAGAAGGGTGCACATGACTGGGGAGAAAAAAGTGAAAGCTGAATAGACCTTTTTCAGAGCAAACTTTTAGACTTCTCAAACACAGGTGTGACTAATAACATTAATGATTGCACTGCAATAACTGCAGCAATGGATTATTAACGTTATTAGTTAATGTGCTTTTTGTTTGTGAGACATGTAAGTATGATTGCTGAATGTCTGCATGAATCAAAGACAACTGATTACTCACAGACAGTGCCGTAATGACTGGGCTTTCTGGGTTTTAAATTTCACATCCAACATTAAGGGTACAGAGATAAAGCAATTTATACACACCCGTAGTGTCGTGACAGTATTAGGATCTCTGTATCGTCCATCTTCTTCCTTCAAATTGTAGCCCTCTGGTCTCTTGTCGCGCTCACTAATTTTCCACAGCTTTATGGTTTTGTCTGGCAATGAAAAAATCGTCCTCAGTTACACAAGAAACTCTTTAAATTTAGATTACTTGTGGCCAAATGATGTCTCCATAGGGCAGATGGAAAGGAAAAATAATTTAGCATCACCAATTAATTCTTATTGCAGTGAATCAGTTTAAAATCCAGTAGTTTTACTGACCATTTGTAGACAAAAGGAACTGTGCTGCATTTTTCTGAGGCAACCATCGAATCTTGTTGATCTTCTCTTCGATCTCAAGGCTTTTCAGGTAGTCAAACTCAGGCTCGTGGCTCTGGAAGGTGCTGTAAACATTGTACTCTCCTCGGCACTGTGGCTGATTCTTACTCTAAATAATAACAGAGAGAAGTTTTTATAAATTTCAAATGGTTATTTTCATCTTAAATTCTGAATTCAGTAAAACCGGCAGCCTGTGTGACCAAGTTATAGGAATTTATCCAATGTAAAAAAAGTCAATGATCGCACTGTTTGTACAGATTTAGTTTATTCAGATGAGTCACCAAAACTTACCTCTGGCTCCTGCTGAAAGATGACAACACGACCCCCCTTGTCCCCGGTGGCTAGTAGCTCCCCAGAGTGGTTGAATTCAACCGTAGATATGATGTCAGCTGTCAATAAGGTAGTGTATTTAGAATATCATCTTTTTTTTTTTTTTTGTTAAACTTAGCGCCATTTTTTTTGTCTTTAAATTGGAACTGTAGTGAGGAAACTGTTGTGTAAACCTGAGATGTGTTCAACATGAAAATATTTTGCACCGGTTTGCAAGGCTTTTCTGGTTGAACAACATATCCTCCCAATGATGCACAAAATTCTTCAAGCAGCGTTAAAGATATTGTACATTTGATGCCGTTTTTCCCACCTGGAAAGTGTGCAAACCATGTCATCCATTGTGAAAACACAACAGAGCAGTGATGTACATGAACTTTAACTTGAACATAAAGTCTAGGAGGGGAAAACAAACAACTTGCCATTCTCGGCTATTCAGCACTTCTCAAAGACAAGCATTCTCATCAAATCCTACAATATAACAATCAATCCCTGTTTACTGGCTTGGACTATTCTGAGCTAGTGCAATCCTTAATATAGACTATGGTGTTGTTCCTCTCTTAACACAGCACACAAAGAGCCTGACACGACCTGACTCCATACAGACTCTCATATAAAACTAAAAGGGCAGAGTGAAGGAGAAGGGGTTTAAATAAAACTACTACACTAATGTAGTGTTATGTTTTCAGGCTATGCACTGATATGTATTTTTGACACAAGGAGAGGCTCTTATTTATACTTGTTCTCAGGCAAAGCTTACTGTAAACAGCTGAGTAGCCCTCTACACACAAACAAGTCCATCATGTACTGTAAACATAGGTCTTAAGGGCACTTGTGAATTTACTAATTGGACAATGGTAAAAGGGGAGGTTGCCACTGGTCTTTCTGTGCATATGGTAATAAAAACTATAGTGTGTGTAATGTGACATTTTTTGCACTTTATTTGCATTTATTATCCCCATGTACTGTGTTAAAATGCCCTTCAGTACTGCAAGAATCTGCTCATCCAAAACACAGATTACATGATCTGTGTGGTATCTAACTGTGCAGATAGTTGAAAACAGAAACGCGTCTTTCCAGACACTATTTTCCAGTTAGTCAGGATAATCAATAGACCACATCGTCATCAGTAGTTTTCATTGGGAACTATTATTTGTTAGAAAATAGTTCAACGATGAATGTGGATTATCTGGGGTAACCAAACCAAAGAAACCTGTGATGATTTGAGCACCACAATTGAGTTGAATTAAATTCCTTTCACTTCTATCGTAATGGGTTTGCAGTAAAAGTTTCAAAATATAGGACCACCTGCATGGTAACACAGTGGCAGTGCCGATCAGACCTTTGAAAGCAGGTCATTAATGGACTCTGTGAAACACATTTGAAGTGGAACCTAAGCCAACTGATTGCTCAACCAAATAAACGTATTGCTTGACTAACTTCCTACTTGTTTATGAAATCTCCTTGTACTACGGGGGTAAAAACCAGCAACTTTTCAGTTCTAGTATGCATTTCACTCCCATGCATGCAAGCTTTACATAACACACACTGGAAAAATGCACACTAGGGAATTATAAAAGTAGTGACTGTTTATATTTTTGCAGCAATTGTGCCAAAAATAGATGAATGTCAGCCATGAGCCAGTTTTACCAGTCTGTAACAGGCCTACTGGACCATAAGCAAGTATGTGCCAGACCAGTAGCCCTTTTACTTCAGTGCAGCCAGACTGATCATGGCAATCAGTCATACAAGTTTTCATATGTATAAAAATATCTCAATCAGAAAGTGTAGCACTGGCATTAAAGCTAACCTCAAAACAAGCACGCACAGGATGCCAAGCAGAAAGTACATTTTAGCAACTGTTCAGTGACAACCACATGGACTTACCTTCTGCGACATCATCATCTATCGCTCCTTTGACCTGGGAGAAGCACCACTGCACATCACTGTTCCCACCACCGGCCCCTGCACAAAACACAACCCCAACTTTTAATACACCACCATCAAAGACAACTTTGCACGCGTTAGCCTGGTGCTAACTAAGCTAAGAATATTTATAGTCATGAGAGCAGGGCCACAAGTAACTTCATACTTATCGAATATAGTTACTGGTGTAGACAATTCCCTATCACCGGAAATACTTTTAGCATGTTTGCTGTGGAAAACGCTCACTTTCACACTGTCAGTGACACACACATCTAGCATCTTGGAAGTATCCTAGCTTGCTAGTTAGCCTGCGCTGGTTGACCACAACAGGAGAGACAAACCCATCATCTGTGCAGGACAGGACACATACTGCAGAATAATAATTAAACCTGAGACACTCTCACAGTCTTGGCTCTCTAGTTTTACCTGCCATGGTGAGCGACTCAAACAGAGTATATCTCTGTAGCGGGCTCGGGCCCTGGGCTGGAGCAGTGCTGACCCGGGTCGGCTGGGTGGTTCTGACCAAGGAGCAGTGGAGGAATGAAGCGGAGACTGCTGCTGTTGAGTCCGAAGACCGCACAAGTCCTGGACCCGGTTGATATTGACAGTACGAAACAGTTTTCAACCAGAGAAAGTAAACTTCAATCCTCAGTACTAGCTTTTAGACTTTGCACTCTACTTTGAGATTTCCCTCGCCTCTGCCTCTCCCAGCATTACACTTTCAAAATGGCGCAACTCGGGCGGCGTTCATCAGCCTTCAAACTGAGAGAGCGGTGCGGGGGCACCATGAAAATTTAACCTGGCAAATCTCAAGAACCGTCAGCGATGTGGTTCTTTTTCCTGTCCTGGGAAACCGCTTGGGGTAATTGATTTAAAGCACGTTTCATTTTCGATGAAAAGTTAAAGGGACTTTATTTTAGAAAACCCTTTAATAGCTTAAACCCCGCCCATGTGCATTGTTTCAGTGAATCAAATCAAACTAACCCACGCACGCAGGGTGAATTCAGCAATAGTGAAGCGATAAAACTGTAAACTAGATTTGATACGACTTTTAATTTACAAATGTAGATTTAATTGAGATAAGTACTATTTTATATTGAAGTTAATTAATCATGATTTAAATACTGATCACACAGTACATTATAGTAGGTTATTTTTTGGGGGAGTTACAAACACATTTTATGTTTGCTGTGCATTTAATGCAGGCATGTCTCTGTCAACTGTAACACATCCGGATTTCAACAACATGAGATAAGAACAAGATAACACACAAGCCAGACACCAGTTTTGTTAGTACATATATGTCAAGAATGAGAAACTAAGTGGAGACCAAGCACCAGGCCCAGATTTACCCTCGAACAAGCCCCAAGGCAAAGTGTTGTTGAGCACCTATAGGCCTTTTTCACAGCAGACATACTTCACACCTGCTATAGTAGGAAAAGCACAGGTGGTAGTAATTACAATAACAATGGCTCTATTATATTCTCGTTTCCCAGTAAGTCATGACGGTGTGATGTGTGAGGCCACATGCAGGTAATGAAGCAGCTAAATGATCAGTAATCATTTATTTTATTGTTTATAGCATACCTGTGCTTTCTTTGCTGTCACATGTCGAAATGTCTTTCATGAATAATGCCCACTGACATCCCTGTCACCCTCTGTCTATTGTATGTGTATCATTTAGTTTTGGTAGGTAATTTTTGTTTGTTTGTTTGTTTTTTTTTGGGTGGTGCTATTATAACTTAGTGCCAACAAAGGGATGACAGGAAATGAGGAAGAGAGAGATGTAAGGAGGGCCAAAGCCAGACTTGAACCAGGACAATGCAGCTCATGGTCAGCATCTTAGCTCCTAAGACACAGGGATACCCCAGTTTTTGGTAATTTGACTGTTTTGATTTATTTAGAAATATGCACCTTATAATCACAATATAAACTGAAACAATAAAGACCTTAAAACTAGAATTTGAAGACAGGACTTCCTACAGGTGTTTCCTTAAGGCCCAAATAATTTCAGTTCATATTATGTTTTGGTGCTATATACAGTATTGCCAACCAAATTTGCAATTAACCAAATTATTACAAATTAATCTCCATACTTTAAACCTGGAGCCTTCCGGTCCTCTGGAAGCCTAGGGCCCATGGGGCAGGTGTCCACTCTCCCAGATATCCATGCAGAAGAACAGCTTTGTTTCACCAATGCATTTGGCAGAAACTAGAACCATAACAGAGAAATAATCCCCAGTGACATTACCACTGATGTGTCTTATTTTCACAAACATTTTGCCAAACTTTATATGTGCTTCCAAGGGGGGAAAAAACAGCTTTGAAGATACACAATACGGCTTTTGTATGCTACACAACCATACAAACATGTTTTATAGCTTCATTCTGGTAACCTTGCAGCCCAGCAGATATCACAGTTTTTAGATTGCACAATTAAACACATTGTCAACAAACACAACTGATGAGTTTCACTGTGGAGTTGCTCTATATGCCTGAAACACCCTGTTTAGATTAGTAAAAAAAAGAAAGAAAAAGAAAAACTGGACAAAAGCTATGAGCTCTAATGCAGAGTGTGAATCACAGAGCGAAACAAACATGACCACTCCAGCTGCGCATGGAGACATTAACAATTTATAGGAACTGCATAGTCCACAAATCCCAAGAAGGTCTGACTTCATTAATGAGCTCTCGAGAACGGGCTCATTCTTTAACAGTCGCTTTCTTTTTACTTTCCCACCATAAAATATGTGGTCCATCTGGCAAGGAGCAGAGCACCAAACAGCACGGTGTAGCTGAAGAGGACAAATTTAAGGATTTCCTTGAATGTCCGGAGGAAGCGGATTAACAAAGGCTCCACATCCAGAGGCTCCTGCTGCATCTTCTGCCTGCGACCAGGTTGAGTCAGGTGTCCCATATTCTCACCTCGACCCATTCTGCAAACACACACTTTTGTCAGATTTCAGAATAAAACACAACAAAATAGTTAACGACTTTAATGTCCACCAAGGTGGCCCATCTGAAAGTTTACAACAACACAGACGGTGTGAATAATCTAATTAATTACATTAAATAATCATAAATGAAGACAAAAAAGCTCAAAATTTTCTGAAAATGCCGTTGGGATAAATTACATCTTATGTATGGTCTTTGTTCCCATGCTTACTTAAGTAGAAAATACATTATTTTTAGCACTTTATGTATTATGAAATGTGTTGGGGGTGCACATTGATTTGTTCCTAGCCCTGTAGGAGCTGAAGAGGCTGCATTGTCACAAGACCACTGTTAATAATTTATCTGTAAATTACAGTAAGTGCTGACCCACTTTGTTTGTGTACAGCCAGAGACAATGTAAACTGTTGAACATCTTCAGCATTTAACTTTCATGATGTTTTAAACCGTTTTCAGATATTCTCAGGGAGACATGATGAAGCTGTAGAGTATGCAACTTGCTGATTAACACTGAATACGTTCATCTATGTTTTCTTCAAAGTAGTTATTAGTAATTGAATAAGAAATGTAAGCATAATGTAATGAGTTGTCTTGATTAAAAATGTATTAATATCTTGTCCTGGTAAAGGTTTGCCAGACTTGAACTAAATTTACAAAATTTATAACATGCATGAATCACAATTTTAAATCAAAACCAGTCATACCTTGGTGTTGTTGGTGCAAGACAGGAGCTGATCAGAATGTGGGCTCCTGTGCTTCCTGTCCTGAAGTCCAAGTTGGTGTGTGCTGCCTTGAGCGTCTCAAGCTCTTATGGCAGAGGAGGAGCCAAAAGCAATAACTGATCACAAGCATCTGAATCTCCTGGGAACGATCTAATGGGAGTTTAAGTCTTCAGTGCACCTGCTCCTCAAACAAAGAAATGGTCCTGTAAAATTATGGCCATCAAACAATATTAACAGATTTAATTTTAGCCAATCAAAATGGAGGAAATTAACATAGATTTACCCGAGCAGAGTTCACCAAAATATCTGAGTGCTGTCAGCAGGTCTCCCTATGTTCATAGTGTAAGGCACGGAGACGGTATTGACTGAGAGAGAGATCAAACACCCTCATGCAGCACAGTTATCCTCTACCGGAACACGGAGCAAATGGCCTCCTAATTCAATCAGTGTCCTGCACTGTCAAATCATGGGCTGAGCTCTCCAGACAGCACAGGGCCATTATCGGCTGATCGGGAGGCCTGTTACTGTGCTAATTGCTCCTTCAGAGAGCTGGAGCACTGCTGACGGATACACTCCCATCCCTGCTTTTCATCTGCTCTCACCGATCACAATCGGCTTGTCTTTCCTAAAATTATCCAGAAAACAATAGTCAAAATGGCCTCCCACAAGACCAAGTAACACAAGACTAATTTCAGTTAGTTAAGACTTTATTTACCCATTTTCATCCGAGCAAAAGCCACACAGAAATCTGCCAACAAAAGCCCTCAAAAGTGGAAATCAAAGTTCAGCTTTAATCATCTTACACATTCAAAATATTTTAATCATACATACATATATACAGTACCTTTATAGAGGACAAAGGGATGTACATAAACAGTAGAATTAAACCAGCTTTATGTTATATATTGTCTGGCTGCAAATTAGGGACTAGAAAAAAATATTTAAAACAGGTACTCTATGGAGTTTATGACCACTTGAAGCACTATGGAGGAATGATTTTACAAATGGGTCAGTATTTTGTTTGTATCATGAACATGCACGAGACCACAACACAATCCACATTCCTGCTGCTGGTTTCACACTATTCCACTGATCGACAGGTGGCGGTGCCAACATACGAAGAAGTGTAGTAAACCATCTATAAAGGCGAGTGACAAACATTAGTGTAACAATGCACAATATAAAATATATATAAAAAAAAAAAAAAAAACAGGTTTGCAAATGCAATGAAGAAGAAAATGCATTCAACATATTTGCAGGGCCTCAGAGATACACACAGTGTGTTTTAGTTAGTAACAGAATGAAAACATAACTTTGTTCACAAAAAAACTCCACAGGGCACCTTTAAAGAGCCTGTTGCTGTTTATCCAGCAGAGACATCAATGAAACACCTGCAGTTCACTGATAGGGACATAAAAACAGCAGCTGTGGTTTTCTGATGGATGGGGTGTTTGATGTGGCCAGGTGTACATGCAGGTGACTCAGGGGGTCTGAGATTCAGGTCGGTCCATGAGGGATTTGATCCAAGTTGTACCGTTTATGAGTTTTGTGGTGGCTATAATGTACTCCATCCCGCTGTCTTCCATTTGAGAGAGGAAACGAAGAGCGGCTATTTCTGCATACGTCACACCACCGAGGAAGAACACTAGTGTTGTCCGATTCTCCCCCTGCTGGCCTGTATGACAGTAACAGGAGACACATGTCACTCAAACACAATGTAAAAGCTAAATAAGAGGGAAATGATGAGCATGACAAAGATTTTCCTTTATTTCTGACGTGGTAAACTAGCCATCACTACCTTTAACAAAATACAGCTGAATGTAGAGAGGGCCAAGTTCCCTCTGCTTAAGCACCATTTTTTGAAATGTGAAAACACTAATTTAGCCGTCAGCCTCCCCCTAGATTAGAGTCCTCTATTATCACCTTTTCCAATCCAGTTTAAGGCAGGCATGTGGAAACAAGTCAACTGTCTAATGCCCAAACTCACAGTTCTAATTTGCACATTTCAAAT